GCACATAACAGTTCCCCGTGTATTCGGCACACCACTGTTGCGGAATGAACAACCAACCTACTTAAATGTCACACTATCATTAATATCAATGCGCAAGTAATGATTTTAACTCACACACTGTGCGAGCATGGTGACGCTCACCACTTCGCTAGTTCTCAGAGTATCTTGTGTTATGAGGTCGAGCGAATGAGAGAGAACGAGTGTTAGCGTAGAAAAATATTAGCAGAAAGTTTAAGTCTGGCAGTAAATGTGCAGTTTAGGTCAGTGTGTCCGTTAATAAAACAGTGTGTCTGTTAATAAAAGCCTGTAGTTTCTCCTTCTGCTGGAAAAGTGAAGGCTGTTAGTGCTAGCTAACATCTCCCCTGTAAAAGCATGTTTTTGGCCATTATGTAATGTTAGCTAAATTAGTAAGGAAGTAATATTAATTAGCTTAGCTGTATGTCATTACTAACTTACCTACTTGTCAAGGGTTGAGAACATCATTTACAAGCTTGAACTAAACTGGTGTACAGCTCTGTCCTGTATACACACTGTAATTTACATCCTGATAATTAGATTAGATTTCAGTTTTCAGAGGACTCAGGACTTGTTACAGAAATGAAGGACCATGGAGCTGAAGTGAATGAAGAAAATTACGGATGCAAACTATTCCTTTTAAGCTAATTAGAAATGTTTATTTTGGATTTTAATGCGCAAATTAAATGCTTTGTAATTATCCATAGAAATCCATAGAAAAAAGAATTATGCATCAAGATGCATCTGTGTGTGTGTGTGTGTGTGTGAATGAACACTAAAATAAGTTGGAAATGACCTAGAATAACCTACTATTAATACAAATGAGATATACACCGCTACTGCCCCCGCCCCCCCCACCAGCCGCTGCTGCCACAGTTACACTGTGTTAATGAGAGCTCGACAGTCCAGGGAGCGGGTCTAGTGTCGCGGTTCTGATGGACAGAACCAAGACACTAGAACATGGACTTTTGTGTTGCTCTTTCTGTCTCGGTTTTAGAACCGTTACAGCCCTAAAATCTAGTCTTTTACTCATATCAAGCCTGGTCCCAGGTGCTATCAACATGCTGTTAGAATCCAAAAAGACCCTGTAGTTTGTTGTTCGGGTGACTAATTAATACTGAATCATTGCCAGGGGCGGAGTGCCGATCGTGGTGTACGGGAGTATTCCCGAACGGCCGGTCCATTTCAGGCCGAACCGGCCGGGGGTATTTTTATTTTCAGTTTTTTATGTTTTACTTCAGCTGCAGCTGTGTCTATCAGACTGGTATTTAAGGATTTTAGCATTCTGACTGACTTAGGCTTGCCTGACCTGGTCTAGCTCAGTGCAGACCTGCCTTGCTTATACAAAACGAAGAAGCAGGTGTCATCCTGAAGTTTATTGAAGGTCTTCAGCATAATCTGATTCACTGTATACAACAAAAACACTAATACATATTAAAATAACTTCAAAAAATCGCTCTGCCCTCCCTCAAAGTGTGTCTCATAAAAGGCCTCTCCGTCTCAAAGTCCAGTGCTGAATTTCAGGCCCAGTACACCCCTGATCATTGCCTTCACCCTAACTTCCCCTACGACCAATTAGCAACACTGCTTGAATGGCCGTATGCGTGTTTTTTTTGCAAAATCCGAAGTGTGTGTGTTCTTACAAAAATATGAAAGCTACAGTTGCTGAAGACTGCACCCTAAAGTTCAGTGTATCTTTAAAGGTCAGTGGCTAATATTATTGATCAAAAAACATCTCAAACATTATCCTAGTATTTAGTAGTATCATATCAACGTTATCACATCTGTGATGTCTTTTTTTGGGGGGGGGGTCATATCTCACACATTTTTTCCAAAGCCCTTGACAAAGTTTTTGTCGCTCACTCACACTTGAACTAGCAGCGAGCTACCACACAGGGTGCTGGCCAACCATCAGGAGCGATTTAGGGGTTAAGTGTCTTGCCCAAGGACACTTCGACATGTGAACAGGAGGAGGTATAGTTAGTATAGTTGTAGTACATGAGACTGGTCATGGTCTCGAGACCGGTCTTTTGATTTTTGATTCGCATTTGTACTCAGTCTTGTCTCAGTCTTGAACATTGAGGACTATGGATTTTATTTTTAGACCAGTCAAGACCATAACTTTCGGAATATCAATAAATTGATTTTGCATTGTCTGATTTGTTTGTTAACATCCCAACTTTGATTGGATGTAAAATGTATTGCTTCAATGCAACCAATAGCCTAACCCTATTTAAAATTTTCAGTTTGTGATCACTCAGCACAAACTGGAAACAGTCGAAGCGTAACATAATGTTCACATTTCGGGTCTGAGAGCGGGGCAGTTTTGTCGGAGGGAAGACTGACTTGACTTCACACTAAAGAAAACTCAAGTGTATAATTCAGTTTCTATCATTTGTGAAAGCATAACTATAATTTTCTGGTGAAGTCAAGGTGTTTACTGTATTTGAAAATGTTCCTTTATTTTATTTCAAACTCCTAATGTGGAGTCCACAAACAGGCCTGGCAGAGATCGCAGGACACAAATGATTAAATGTAAAGCAAAGTGATCCGATTATCGTACTATGGATAATTTAAATGCTGTTGCGATGATGATTATGGCAGTGACAGCAGCGTTGCTGGCTGAAATGACCCATGTGTGACATCATATCCATGTCCAGCTGAGCTCTTCTGCTCACGTGAGGTGAGAGGATTGAGCCTGGGATTGTTTAGGGATTAGCCAGCAGGATTTACCAGATTCAGAGATTCAGAAATTAAGGGACAGGAGTGCCACAGCGGTGGGGTCACATTGGAGGAATAAGAAAGCACTGACTCACAGGGCAGCAAAACTTTAAGTCAAAAACAACTGTTCCTCTCTCTTTCTGCCTTAATTCTCTATCACACACACATACACATTTTCCTACTCTTCATTTGTACACCCCTCCCCAGCCCACCACCATCACCAATCACCTAATTCTCCTGCTCCTACACGCTTTCAGTCTGAAAAAGAAGGAAGGCGTGCCTGTCTGAACAGATGTGGAGATTTCAGCTGTCTGTCAATGGATCATAACATTCCCCGGCTCTCTGTGTATTCTTATCTGTCTTACTGTCTACCGTGTCTATCCATTTGAGTGTATGAAGGACACATTTCACAGTTTTCTGCAGCCAGAGGATTTAGTGGCAAGAATACTTTCTTTTTTTTTTGCGTGAGTATTTCTGAACCAATTTTCAAACTGGAGACACAAGTGGACACCGACTGCTGGGATCAGTTGATCCAGGTTCAGCTGTCCGGTTCGGGTGACTGGGCACCCTGTGAGTTAGACATCTTCCTTTGTTCCCTTTATTATCTTGTCTGTCTGCATTTAATCCATCTTATGCTTATGTTTCCCATGAGAACATAATGGTAAGCTTTTTCTTGACAGTTGCTTTGCAGTTTCTTGACATTTGTGAGCATGACTATCTTTAGGAACAGCATCCTCATAATGATCACATCTTTCTGTACTTGTTTACTTGATTCTTAAGATTTTAAGAAGATTTTTCTGAGACACACCTAGAAAAAGAAATATGCCTGCTTTTTGGGTCGAGCTTGCATGTCTGGAAAATTATTTAAAATGAAGACATTTTGCAAACTGAATGTTACCTGCCGATCAGTAGTCTGTAGTGTTCTGGAAAAGTATCACGGTTACATCTTAGTTAATGTGCACATCATTACTGTCCATTGAAAACCATGTATGTACCAATTTGGTTTTCCGATGAATAGATGGATTACATGTTCCTCTCTGGTTTATGAAGATTTACCTACTTCTGCACAAATTAAAAACCCTATCGGATTATCTGTAAAATATATGGATACAAAGCTGGAAACGGCTTTTTTTTTTTTTGTTCATAAAAAGTTGACATTCATTTAATTCAAATACAGCAGATTTTATTTCATTCATTTAATAATTTAAGCACATGTCTTTAGTCTACATGTTTGACTTGCCTTAGTTTGGGTAGCTGAATGTATAGAAGTGGAAGTCAAAGAATGTTTGGTCCTGAGGTTGTGAGCATATCAAATGAGCTGATATTACAGTAATGAAATTCAGCTTGAGGACAGAATCTACTGGAACCAGTGTTTTTTTTTTGTTTTTTTCCCAATTCACAATTTTCAGCATTTTACCTGTTTTTTTTATGTTTCTCCTGTCTGATTAGTTTGTTGTACATGACAAAGACATGTAGAGCCAGCACAGTCATCTGCCATGTGAGTAATTTTTATCAGGTTTAGCAATATTTTATTTGATATTATTCTGTCATAAAAAAAAAACATACTCATGACACAAAACAAAAAAGCAGAAGGTAAGAAACAGAAAAAAATGTTATTTCGATAATCAAACGATCGTTTTAAGTAGTTTTAAGTTATTTTCAGGCAAAATGACCAAACGTTCCCTTGTTTTCATCTCCTCAAATGTGAGAATGTGCTCATTGTCCTTGTTTTATGATTGTAAACTGAATATCTTTGGGTTTGCAGGGTTCTTATGTAAAAAGTATGGAATTTGATTTTAGTCATTCCCATATCTGGATAGGTAGCGAAGAAAGAAAAGAGTGTGGAAAATATTTATGTTTCCAAACTATTGCCCTCATTCTGTTTTCTAAAATTGAAAATTGTTTTAGCGCTTGGAGCAGGCAGTCAGCTGTGTGAGAGAGCACGGGCCAGAGCTAGCTTGATGTTGTGAAAAGCAAGGCAAGAAGTATGGCGTGTGACTAATGTCACGCTCCTATGCAGAGCTGCCAAAATGTGTGGCAACCCTGGTTTTGGACTGTTAGTCAGATAAAACGAGATGTTTGAAGATGTCACATTTGGCTTCAGGAAATTGTAAACAGGAATTTTTCACTGTCGCCTCTTTTTAGTAGGTTTAATGACTATGCTTAGCTAACATTTGCTAATTAGCACTAAACCCAGCAGATTTATTAATTTGTTAAAATAAGTTGTACCCCTGCAAAAACAAAGATTCAGTTCAACATGGGACATGGGTGTGAACATCTAAAATTAAATTAAATAAAACAAACTATAAATATCATAGAACATAAACAAGCATTTGTATACACAAATTGAAGCATGACACAGGATTAAAATATTTCAAGTTATTATAATCTATTATTATCACTGGCCTGCCCCAGCTAATGATAACAACAAAAACTGCTGTGCCTCTGCTACGTTACAGTTGTGATTAACCGTTCCCATACCGGTCTGTGTTGTTGTTCCAGGTGATACCCACAAGGTGGAGATCCCCAGAAGAGAGATGGAGGTGGTCAAGGGCCAGATGGTGGTATTACAAGCCTGGTACAGCCCCAACTCAGACATTTCTAAAAACTCCGTCCTCTGGCAGTTCATGGGAAATGAATCCAAGCAGGTGAGGAGGTCAAAACAGAAATCAGCAACAGTGTGCTGTATGGTTGACCTCAAGTGGAGTAGAGAAAGAACAGCCTTTTTAAAGTGATTAAAATGAAGTACAGTGTGTTTGCTGATCCTCCTACTCCTGTAACATTTGAGCTGAAACAACGAATGAGTAACTATTGTGACAAACAATTAACAGTCGTTTTTCCAGCAAAATGCTCTGGTTCCAGCTTTTGTAATGAGAGGATTTGCTCCTTTTCCCTGTTTTGAGGACATTTTGGTGTGACTGTCGGTCAGACACCTCAGGCTGCAGGAAACTGTGATCAGCATTTTCACCATTTTCTGCCATTCCATATAGGGAAACAAAATATAGAACCTTATGAAGTTTTTTAACTTTTAATTGTGGGAATTCTTAGTTGCGAAGCAGCTAAATATTTTTACATGCAAGGTCTACCCTAACTCTTAATATATACTAGATTAATCCTGAGAAAGCCATCTAGGGATTATTAATTTAAACACCATTGCTGATGTCTAATTCATAGTAGAAGGAAGAGCATGATAAACGAATGGATGCCACTAATGACAATTCATCTCTACTTTTCTGCAGCTCCTATGTAGCACGAACTGCTGGTGAAACTGTACATATCTGCACGGTGTGTGTGTGTATCAGTGGGTCTGAGTGTGTAGGGTCTTTGCATGATTAATATAATCTAAACAGTTTGAGTTTCTGATGCCTCCGAGCTTATCTCAATCAGGAAATCAGCCTAAAATTTAACATCCACCATCTGTACATGTAAGGATTATCTTTATGAAGGACATTGATTTCTGTTATATTGGTAATCTGCGCATCTTAACATAGCTAAAGCAAATAAAATTTTCAATATTTCACTTGAATGACTAAAGAGAAAAATGTCTGTAGTACCTTAGTTTCCAAATATGTTGTATTTCATAAAATGGACTCAGAAATGTTGATGTATTTAAAATATTAATAATTAACAGTTTAATGATACTATGCTGCTGTGTTAAGTCCAGTATTTCCATGGACCTGTTTTCTCCGTTAAGGTGATAAACTACAGCTCAGGCGAGGTCGGGCACGGCCACAACGAGTTCACCAAAAGAGTGGGCTTCAGTGCAACCATGCCCTCAGCCAACCTCTCCATCTATATCAACAACACGCAGGAGTCTGACTCCGGACGCTACATCTGCAGTGTCATCATCCTTAAAAGTCCTGGCATCACCGGAGAGATACACCTTAATGTTAAAGGTAATGTACTGCAGTATCAGAGGCTTTGCTGAACATATTTTGAAGGATTTTTGGTCAGACCAGTCTGTTAAAAATCATATTTGTGTGAGCAAGTACTAAGCATAAATAAATCTCATCTGCTGTTTTGGGATTCACTGGGCTCTGAGGTCATTATGTCATCCTCCAGCAGCAGATGGAAACAGGGTGGGGGTTTTAAAACATTTTCTTATTTGAATGCAATATGGCTACTGCCCTGAGAAATCTATGTTTGCAGTGGATTTAAGCCTGATGTAAAAGTTCAAAATCAGGTCACTGATCCTATATTCTTATCACTCGGTCTGTCTCTCTGTCTCTACAGTCCCTCCTTCTCCCCCAGTATGCACCATGACAGGGAACCCAGTGGTGAAGGGCAATGTGACTCTGAGCTGTAAGTCCAGTCATGGAAAACCCATCCCTCAGTACAAATGGACCAAAGCCGCACCCTTGTCTGAGGTCTTCTTCTCCCCAATGCAGAGTAAGTATTTTCACGACAATGCAATTCTTGTACTTAAACTGTCAGTTCATACAAATTACAGAAAAAATATACACTTACTTAGAATCTTTAAACATAGATATGGTTTTATTTGCCAAGATTTTGATTTTATTTCACCTTGGGTTTCACCAATCAGGCTACATACAGGTTCACTTGGTGGAGGTTTTTTTGGGGTTGTGTGCAGCCTTAGATGAAGACTGCAGGAACTACTAAAAACTGAAAAAAGTACCTTCACCTCCTCTTTTGCTTTTCAGGTTTTATATTTTTGTTTGATATTCTCCTAAAATATGTTAGAATTAAACATGACATTTTCTATTTATTTATTCCTTTATTTTGAGTTGAAAATGTTCATTGTGTCACGTAACTAAGCCAAATTTTACACTGGCTCATCATGTCACATTCAGGCATCCATCCCATTTTTACCCTTTAAAGGACCAGTGTGTAGGATTTAGTAGGATCTCATGGTTGCAGATTGCATCCTGCTGAATACCGCTTCAACCACATCCCCTCAACTCTCCCTTTCCAAGCCTGTAGAGAGAACCTTCAGTGGCCTTCAGGTAACATAAAAACGCGAAAGACCCTCTGTAGAGCCAGTGTTTGGTTTGTATGTTCTGGGCTACGGTAGAAACATGGCGGTGCCACATGGCGGGCTCTGTGGAAGGGGACCTGCTCCCTCTGTAGATATGATTCTAAGATAATGAAAACATAACCATTCTTTCATTGTGAAAAGATTATTTTCCTTTGCTGCTAATATATCCCCCTAAGTTCTTCTTCACTCTGGACCTTTTTGCTACGTTCAGACTGCAGGCCTTAATTCCAATTTTTTTGTTTGACAATTCACATTATTTCCTAATGTGGCCCATATCATATCAAGTGTTCACAACTTTCATTACGGTTTCTGGTGCTGTACAACGCAACTGCTCAACTCACTAACGTTACAACGTCTCTCTCTCTCTCTCCCTCCCCACTGTGCCCACACGGACATGCACATAACTCAGAAGAGAGTTTGCAGTCCGGTGGATTTCAAGTGGAAGAAAGAGAATTTGTAAGCAGATGAGAGAGCCACATATTTAATTATGGCCTTTGTGGAGCTTTTTCGTTCCCCGTGGCTCCGTCTACAGCAGAGCTGTGACAACAGCTGCTCTAGAGTGACGTCAAAGTTGCGTCAATTCCAACCTGAATGTCCAGACTCAGGTCACATTTAAAAAGATCCAATCTGTATCGGATTTGGAACACATATGGAAGTGGCCCAAATCCAAACTGGCTCAGATTCCATGTGACTTGGCCTGTTCACATTGTTGGTTGGTTGGGTATCGTTTAAAATTTCACGATACCAGTACCAAAACCAGTACACTTAAAGTGATACCGATACCTATTGAGTACTTCATTCGATACCTTGCATAAAATGCCACCTGTTGAAGCCATTCTAGTTGATTGGTAGCCTATTATTATTATTTTTATTATTGTTATGGAGCCGCAAGGTGATCTGTTTTATTTTATTCTTGTTTCAAATAACTGTTACATAAAAGAATTGGGAAATTGTACCAGATCCTCCTCATCCTAATTAGTTCATCCTCGTGGGTAGTATTATACGAGGAAAGACTACAGCTTGGGATTTTTTAATATTTACATTTAAATTCATACACTACATTTACATACAGAAGAAGAATCGTTGGGCAGATAAGAGTTTGCAGCAGTGAGGTAATACTTTACTCCATATTTTTCTCACTTGATGTGCTATCTCTTTGCATTTTACTGAGCAATCCACTAGAATCTGAAGGCCGGCTGAGCGAGTGTGTGTGTCCCACCCACTGAAACCAACCTTTTGTCTTGGTAAACCGGAGGGTGATCAAAAGCATATAACAGAGTACTTGTACTCCTGTTGCACTCTTAAACACAGAACCAGCGGTTCTACCTGTGCAAGTCCATTGAGTTAGGCCACCTACAAGAGTAGCTTTTTCTAAGCACACCTACTCACCTAAAGCTTCCAGCTACAACTACGCTCAGTCCATGTGCTACCATACTATTCCTATTGTCTCCGGTGCACGCAGGAGGTATCATGCCATCAGGCACTCCTCAAGCCTTTAAAACAGGCACCACCCACATCTGTTTACTTCTCTGTTGGGTCATGGAACTGCCAGTCTGCAGTCAACAAAGCAGACTTTATCACTGCTTATGCTAACACATTATCTCTTGGGCTACTGGCGCTCACTGAAACCTGGATCAAACCAGAAAACTATGCTACTCCCCGCTGCGCTGTCCAGCAATTACTCTTTATTACTCACCCACACCCCCCCACCGTCAGGGAGGACTGGGCTCTTAATTTCTAACAAATGGAAATTCACACAGCTACTACCCCCGAATCAATATGACTCTTTTGAATACCATGCTGTCTTTGTGTCTGCTCTGGTAAAGGTCTCTGTGATTGTCATATACCGTTCACCAGGACAAATGGGTAACTTCGTGGACGAGCTAGACACACTGCTGTCTTCAATACCAGAGCATGACTTCCCCTACCTGTCCTCAGTCACATGAACATTCACAATTTGAACTCAGCAGACTTCCTGTCTCTGATTCAGTCCTTTGATCTAACACGGGTTCTCAGCCTCCCGACCCACAAAGCTGGCAAGGTGCTTGACCTTGTTCTTGTCCGAAACTGTGCCACCAAGTGCCTAACAGTCACACCTCTACACGTGTCAGACCACTATTTCACTTAGTTCATGGTATGCCTACAGGAACAGCCCATTGTTCCAGCACCGTTTGTCTCACGCCGCCGCAACCTCCCACTCACTTTGCCTCAGTGGTAGCTTCCGCTCTACCTTTCCTCAACACATTTTCCTCACTTGAGGTCAATGATGCCGCACAATCTCTGTGCTCTACACTAAGCTCGTGTCTGGATAGCCTGTGTACTCCGTGCACTCCGTACCGAGCCACTGAAAGAAAATGGCGAAAAACCAAAGACCCCGCCAACCTTAAGGGCTACCAATTGCTCCTATTCTCCTTCTCAACAAGCATCAGTGCTGCCAAACCTGTGTTCTGTAATAACAGAATTAGCAGTACCACTGACTCAAGGAAATTATTTTCCACTTTCAAAGTGCTACTAAATCCTCCTCCACCCCCACCAGCCTTCCAGGTCAATGGTTCTTCACTCTCCTCATTTATTCCTCTCACAGAGAGCGAAGTATCAGAACTCCTGACCCATAGCCATCCCACTACATGCCCACTGGACCCGATTCCTACGAATCTCCTCCAAACTCAAGTTGAGAACTATCGGCCAGTGTCTCTTCTACCATTTTTATCCAAAACTATCGAACGGGCAGTATTCAAACAAGTCTCAGAATTCCTCTCATGGAATGACCTCATAGATCCATATCACTCTAGTTTTAAGAGTGCCCACTCTACTGAAACGGCTCTTTTGTCTGTAACAGAAGCCCTAAGGTCAGCTAAAGCTGCAGCCCAATCCTCGGGTTCTTATCCTGCTTGACCTATAGCTGCTTTTAACACAGTCAACCACAGTATCCTGCTATCCGCTCTCTCAGCAATGGGCATCTCAAGTAAAGCACTCCTGTGGTTCGAATCCTACCTCTCGGGTTCCTACAATGTTTTGTGGCAAGGACAATTATCCTCCTCCCACTGCCTCTCCACAGGGGTGCGAAAAGGCTCAGTGCTAGGGCCCCTTCTCTTCTCAATTTACACCATCTCACTGGGGCTGATCATTCGCTCTCACAGCTTCTCTTACCACTGCTACGCAGACGATGCGCAACTCTACCTATCCTTCCCGCCAGACGACCCCACTGTCTTGGCGCGGATCACGGACTGTCTCTCGGACATGGATGAAGGCTTGCCACCTTCAACTAAACCTCTCTAAGACTGAACTCTTGATCATTTCAGCCAAGCAATCTATCCACCATAACATCAAACTACAAATTAACTCCTCTACCATCACTCCAACCAGGGTGGTGAGAAACTGTTTCTCACCAATCTGAGTAAATGTACATTTACTCATTTGGCAGATGCTTTTATCCAAAGCAACTTACATTTGAGGAACAACATACAACATCAACAAAGCATCAAATACAGCACGAGATCTACAACTGACAATACATACTAGTAAGAGCTAATAGCACATGTCACATCAATGGGGTAAATACCTAGGGAAAGAAGTAAGATTTAATAAAAAAGTACTATCAATACAAGATAATTGTAAGGCGATAGAAGAACAGCACAGAAAATGCATGTTAGAGGTTAGGTGTTAGAGGTGTTATAAGAGGAACTGTTCTCCGAAGAGATGAGTTTTCAAGAACTCCTTGAAGTTAGAGAGGGACGCCCCTGCTCTGATGGCGTGTGGTAGCTCTTTCCACCATCGTGGTGTCACAGATGAGAACAGCTGGGACTGGGATCGCTTTGTGTGAAGGGATGGCAGAGCCCTGCGGGGGTTCGTTGGAGAAGCGTAGTGGCAGAGAAGGAACGTAAACTTGTATTATGGAGTTTAGGTAGATGGGTGCAGACGCGCTGCTGTGTACTGAACCTTTTGTAGGGGTTTCACCGCACAAGCTGAAAGACCTGCTAGGAGGACATTGCAATAGTCAATATTTGAGAGAAAGAGGAGGAGTGAAATAGTTTAGTGACCAAATAAGTTGTGTGAAATAAATTTAAGGTAATTTTTTGATATGTGTGTTGAAAGTAAAGAACTGAAAATTATTTTAACTTTTGATCAATAAACTGAATTGCAAGATCTCCGCGAGTGCTTTTTCCTTTTATTGGTGAGGAACAACAGTCACAAGTATTCAACAGAAAGGAATCTGTTTAAACAAGTCAGACAGACTACACTAAAGACTCACGAGAGACTGCATGTCCAGCCAATCAAACCAGCTACACCAGCTGAAGCCCCAGTTGCAGCCAGAGGCTCCATGAGTAAAATCAGCTGATCGTTTCTGCGCCACAAACGCGTTTAATTGATGTGATGGAACGCAGCGACCAATTGGTGACAAGGGATGTGAATAGCAAATAAAAATTTACAGAGAAGTGTTAAATGATACCAGAAGATGATGAAACCAACGGAAAGCCAAGCTTGTGGTGATAAACAACAGTGACAAACATGCCTGAGACCGCAGCCGAAGGTGAGCGGCTGTTAAAATCACCCATGGACTGTGCATGGAGCATGCAGGTCTTTTTATATACAGTTTATGGTGCAGGCACATGAGGGGAAAAAAGGCATGTTCTTCTCTTTCTGTCGGTGTGTTGCTGGTGTGTTTGGCTGCAAAACCATACAAATAGTAATTTTTTGCTGCGATCTGGTTACAAAAATGATCTATTGATGTACTGGTTTGACTGGAGACGTTTTGATTCTACTTGATACTGAGCTGTTTTGGTTGATACCATAAAGGTATCAAGTACCATTCCTAGTCACATATGAGCAAAAAAATTTAATTTGGGTCACTTTAGCCTACAGTCTGAACATAGCCTTTGATTTGGTAGTCGGAGAAAAAAAAGAGGTGAATAACATTCGCCTTTAGTGAAGTTGTAGTCAACCAGCCTTGTTTCTCCATTAACGTAGATATGTACGAAAAAGAAACAAAAAATGGCAGAGGAATTCTCTGTAAGCCTGTTCATGTGCAGGTCTAAATGTCATGCACCTTCCTGCTGCCCTTAAATGCAGATATAGCTGAGTCCTTGTTGTCAAGTCACACGCGATAAGCCTGTGGCCATTACTGATCCCATATGTTTCAGATGCACCTCAGAGGAAGATCCTTGATCATGCCATAACATGCAGTGTTTAATCCTCTTTACAGATTGAGACAACTCAAATCACACCATACTCCTCTCACAGCACTGCCCATGCAAGAGAGATGTAATACAGTATATTTCGATAGGCTATGCTTCTGTTTTTGCATTATTTTGTTTGTTTCCAGATGATGCTGCAGAGAAAAGACCATCTGTTTCTGAACAATAGGCTGATTGAGTATTGACTTAACTGCTTTGATCTTTAACCCTCATCTCTTTATAGCAGAAAGTCCCCAGACTCATAAAATAAATAGAAAACTACTCCCTCTGATTGTTCATTGACCCAGGTTTTTGTTGCGCAATATGCAACATTCACGCCTATATCACATGTCTGTACCCTCTTACATGCCTTCGACACTCGAGTTCAACTCATCTTTTTATTTGATGTATACTCTCTCTCTCTATGACACTTGAACTTTACTCTGTCACTGTTTATCTCTTTCAGCAATCGCTCTCTCTCCCTTTTTTTCTCTCTCTGCTGATCCTCTCTCTGCACTCCTCATTTCCTGTTAACCTTGGTGCCTAATCTAACAAGCCCCATGTCATTACTTGATCAACCCCTCTAAGAGGCATAAGTTGGATTTGGGACTGAGAGTGCAGCGCATCTCACTCTTCCACCCCCTCCCCGTCAGTCTCTATCACTCCACTCCTCATTCATGCTCACCGTCTCTCTGCCATCTTTCCTTCTCCAAAAAAAACAAAAACAAAACAGAATGGAGATCTTGCCCTCAGCCTATGCTTGTCCTGGGGTTCATGGGTAAGGGTTTTCATACATTCTCATACATATTCTATTACAGCCATAAGCAGTAGAGAAGCTTTAAAGGAAAAAAATCAACCCGATATGTAAGAAAGCTATAGGATTATGTTTCAGAAACCATCCAAATAAAAAATGCTTAGCAAGTGTCAAACCAGGTGATAATCCCACTCAACCTGAAACATTCACATGGCCTTGTACATTGTTGATTAAATCATCAGAAAATGTGGATAAACTCTCCAGGAAAAGCAGGTCGTAGTATATCGTCACTGTAATCATATGTAATAATGAACAGCAATAATAAGGGTTGAATTTGTTCTTTAAATCTCTGTAGTATGTGTGTTGTGTTAGATCTAGTTATCCTATTGCATCCACTCATCTTTTCATTGTGGGCTATATTTAGTAGTAGCCTATTCTGTCCTCTTCAAAGCTGGTTAGTGTGCACTAAATATTTTTGACAGTCTTTTTGGACCAAAGGTCATAATCACTATTTAGAGTTCATAGTAGGTCTTAAATGATTTGTTGATCACTCAATCCATAGAAACTCATAATTCAAAGGGATAGTGTGAAATTTAAAAAAACTGGCAAGGAAGAGGCGAGGAGGAGGCAGTTAGGTTAGCCACTGGTTGGCAGGCAGAAACTGCTGGCCTGGTTCTGTCATAACAAAATTCACCGACCAGCGCCTCTAACGTTCTAGCTCACTAAATCACCTTGCTAAACCTAATCTTCTTTGTCAAATTTGTACAAAACCACAACATGATGTTTTTGTAAGGATCAAATATACGAGACATGTTGATTTGTCAGCTTTAGAGGTGCTGCTGGGAAGATTTTTGTAATCGCTGTACAGAGCCAAGCTAGCTATTTCCACCTGTTTCTAGTCCTTCCAAGCTACGCTAACTGGCTGCTAACTGTATCTTAATTTACCGTACATAAGAGTTATCGATTTTCTCATCTAACTAACTCATGGCAAGAGAGTGAATAAGCCTATTTTTCAATAACAAATGCTAAAACATTATTTTTTTTCCAGCCTCTATAATTTGAGGATTTGCTGAATTTCTCAGTTCTGTATCATTTTAACTATATCTTTGTGTGTCAGACCATTTGTCTGAACAAACAAGTAATTTAAAAAGCATCTTTATTAGTGTAATCATTAGTTCCAGCACAGCAACAGTTAGAAACAGTTTACAATATATATCAGTGGCACTTAAATGGAAGCAATGACTGAATACAGTACATAAATAGAATAGTGAATGAATAGACAGATGTGTCTCCTGTACAGTCCTGTTTTAGTTTCTTAAGTGCACATTGTGTCCACTAGAATGCAGATTTTAGGAGTATTGTAGGTTTTTTTTTAATCTATCTTTACCCATTAGACCTGCAAGATGAAATTAATTTTAAAGAGTAAATTGCGGTGTGGATTTGCATTAGTTTCCTGATTCCTTTGTTTTAAAATGTGTCTTCTTGACACATAGAGAATGTGTACGTGTGTTTTTACATTAATTATGAAAACTAATCCGCTCATGCTTGGCCCATGTCACATGAGGAGGCAAACTATGAGCTTCATATAGAAATGCTGCTGATTAATGCTTATATGTCAAGGCTTTGACAAATGCTGCTTATTGACCTTGCAGTGATGGTAGGGTAATATGAGTAACGCTGTCTTGACATGAGGCAGCACATACTGAAACCCCAGCTCTGCTGCTGCTGCTGCTGCTGCTGGGATCTGATCACTGTGCGGGCTTGAAATCACACCAAACTAAGAGTCAGCTGATGTTCTGCTAATCTGTCACAATTGGGTTGGGTTCTTCACAGCTGGTTTTCAAGCCCAGGGATTAAATGATCAGAGAGGGACAGGTGCATATCACACTAATGCCACTGTTTTATTTGGCACCCACTTTTGTTTTGATTTCTGAGGCATGATTTTAATAGTCTGGTTAAAAGGTTAACAATAAAGCTATGATTTGTTAACGAATGTCAGCTATCTTACTTTGAATTTTAATTATTTTAGTGTAGGTGATATGCATATTTAATTGAAAAATTTGTAGACCAACACAGTCAGGTAGTGCTTGATTACAGTTAACAATTTCTGACTTTTTCATCCATTTACACTTTTAGTTCACCACAATCTAATGTTAGTGACAAATTTACTGTAGTTCTACTGTGGCAGGGGTTTGTGTGCACCTACCTACATTAATCACCCTCCTGGTGGTGCAGAAGCATATGGTGCAGACAAAACTCACCCAGCTGTTTGGATAAAATGATTATTAAGGATTTTCTAGTCTCATGCATTAATATGCTGCTTGCTGGCATAATGTGAACCTTGACTTTTCATCTGTGACGATTGGATGAGTCCCTGGGTTGTATTACTTTTCTCTTTGTGGGAATTGACTCGGTGCAGAGTGCTGCAGGCAAGCACATATGCTTATAAGACCTCCAAACAACAATTTGGGAGGGTGATTCTACAAAAGAGATGCACACCCACTCTCTTTTCCTTACGATCCCCACGAAAGCAAAAAACACATTTGATGAAGAAACGTGACGTCTAAGATTGGATTTCGGAGGATTTGTTGTGATAAGTCCTTCATAAAGCTTGTTTATTTTTTTATAGCCTATGTTTACAACAACACAGCATTTTAAAGCCAGATGTGTAGAGAGGAACAGATTGTGATGAATGGAAATACACAGTTGTGAAAGCACTGAGATGGATGCACACACATTTACTGCTATGTCATGACCTTGGTGTGGGAAAATATTTAGACAAAAATTGCTGACAGACATCGTTATGTAGAAAGACTGCAGAGCTGTCTGCTGGGGGATTGCATGAATGCCAAACTATAATACTGTAGATATTTTAGAAGGGCCAATACGGGATTAGATTCTGCATTAAGGGTGGGAATCTGTAACTAATGATTCAACACTACCATGATATGTTACACACAATAAAGGTATAGTGATATAATAATGTCTTGTGTACTACAGAATCAATTATCTATAAATGAAGAGAAAATACACCCCTATAATTACAAAATCATTTGTCAATAAGGAATCAGTGTATTTGTTTACTGCATTATGTAATGCATTCTGTCACAAAACTTTAGTCCATAGCTTTTTTAAAAAACACACTATCATGCAGAAATATACAAATAAAATGTCAAACTGTCTCAGAAAGCAGAAATATCTAAGGAAACACTTATAATAGTAGGAATGTATCAATTTCTGATGTCAAATGATGTATGGTTTCCTTTATCTATGAGAGAAATTTCTATACAGCTCATTTTTGCATTACATTGTATTATGACGTTCTTTGACAGTAAGTGCTCTTACTTAATGTCAACGTGTATAGTAGTCTTGGATAGTTGTACAATGCCCAAATCACATAAATATGGTTGTGGCGTGTGTGCAACTGTTGATTGTTTTGCAGACGAGAGACACGGAACCCTCCGGCTGAGCAACCTCACTAAAAGCATGTCAGGGAAGTACATCTGCCGAGCCAGCAACACTGCCGGATCAGACACCTGCTCCATTAACCTGGAGGTTATCACTTGTGCGTACACATTAAAACCTTTTTGTTCCACTGCACGCCAGCGTTTCAACACTGTTTTAAATAACAGCTGTGATGCTCATTGAGTGTAAATACTGATCTGACATCTGTTTTCCAGCTTCCAATGCAGGCATGATTGCAGCAGCTACACTGGGGTTGATAGTGGGACTGGTGGCCATGGTGCTTTTCCTCATATTCATACTGAGGAGGAGGGGACACTGAGGAGAGATAGCCAACGAGATCAAGTGAGAGTTTCACATATCTATTCATATCGCATAGTTGCACAATATTGAATAATGAATTCTAAAGTAGTGTATTGCGCACTTTTAATTAAATATACTGCTATATACACAAAATGCAATAACTTGTGGTTTGCAAACACTTTAAACAATAAGGTGCTTTTACCAGCAGTTTTTTCCTTTACACAGTAACAGTGAAATATTTCTTGTAAATCTCATATTAAACATTAATGTAATCAAATCAAATATAAAACCAAAGCTATATATATATATATATATATATATATATATATATATATTCTCCCGATCGTTCTCTTTCATCGTGGAAGACCAAATGCAGGAAAGGTCCCAGCCAAGCAGTTTCTGTTTCAGGTAAACAGAAATACGCCTTTAACCTCACAGGTGCTCCCCACAAAAGCCCTTATCTACAGTCTTTGTCTGTGCACCCAAAGGGCTCTTACACAGGCAGTAACAATAGAATTGAATGCATTTCAATTGTTGTTCAAAGAGTAAGATCTTGTGTTTAACCATTAACCACTGTTATCGCACTCTCTACAAAGCCATTAAACTCCATTGACAAAACAGTAATTTTAATGTTACCACTGCCAGGTTATTACGTGATTTAAGCTTTTAAAGCTTTTTGTGTGACTTTGGTGTTCAAAAGATTAGTTCGGATCTGAACTAACTTAAGCTGTTGTGGGGGGCACTTGTGAGGTTGAAGGCTTGTTTGTTTGCCTGATAAATGGGAACAGCATGGCCTGGGAGGTTTCCTGCATTCGGTCTTCCACGATTAAAGATAATAAGGATAATTACTTCATCAAAAGAACGGTACTGGATATGGTTCCCATATTTTGGCTCATACATGTATTTGCTGGTGTGTTTGTAATCTCTTCATTGCTCCAAATAGCTGACACTAGATTTTTTTGCTGATTTGCTCATAGTGTCACATTTGTTACATCCATACAGATTAATCGCATCGAAACACAAGATGGCGCCAGTGCCTTAATATCAGATTTCATTCCATATATTCAGACGACAAACTTCATATATATACATACAGTGGGTACGGAAAGTATTCAGACCCCTTTAAATTTTTCACTCTTTTTTTCATTGCAGCCATTTTCCAAAATCAAAAAAGTTCATTTTATTTCTCAGTAATGTACATCACCCCCTCTTGACAGAAAAAACAGAAATGTAGAAATTTTTGCAAATTTATTAAAAAAGAAAACTGAAATATCCCATGGTCGCAAGTATTCAGACCCTTT